CCCAGAAGAGAAAATACCAAATCCTGTAGCTCCATGTACAGCAGCTGGGATTGCTCAAGGAGAATCTAGTCTTCAAAGGGCTTAGGTAGCTCCACTTCTCCAGATCTGTCACCTAAAGCACACACAGCTTCTCCCTTGTGTTAAGTTCCACTCAATTTGTAAGCTTACTTTGGTGCATATTACATAGATATTCTATTTCCATCCTAAGGTCTCCATCTTAACTTGTTTCACCTTCAAGGCTTCTATGAAATGCCCTTCAGAATATTTTCAGGGCCTCTGATCCTGCCTGTGATGGTTGGTTTTAATGGCAACTTGACACAAATTAGAATCATTGGAGTAGGGAATCTCAACCGAAGAATTTTCCTTATTGTCTTAGTTCATGTGGGGCACTCATCCCAAATGTGGATAGCACATTCTGATAGCAGAACCATGGCAGAAGGCCTAATGCTCACCTTTTGCTTGTTTGACCTTTCTTTTTGCTTGCTTGCTTCCTTGGCTGATGTCAGAATGAGTATCTCTAGGATTCTGCCATTGACTGAGGACCAGTGACTCTCCAAGAATCCTACAGGTTTTGGTACCAGTTGAGAATGATGAAGCACCCAGTCTTATGGACTGAGGAACTACTGGGGCCTTAGTCTCTCCAATGTGAAGCAGCCACTGTGGGACTACTCTGTCTTCTGAGGTACCCAAATACCTTCAAGGAACCAGGAACTACCAGATTCTCAGCCTTGCAACTGTGATTCAGCTGTTATAATAATTTGAAGTAAAGTTGGTTAATAAATTCTTTTAATACATACCCCCCCACATATACATTCATTTTGTCAGCTCTGTTTCTATAGAAAATTCGGAACAATATTAATAATGTGTGGCTTTTTCTGGCTTCAGAAGCTTTCTGACACCATGGAATGTGAATCCATGACCCCAGAAATCTTTCATATTTTGTGCCTGCTTAATCAGACTAATCTGGATGATGCTGCCATACTCTGCTGTCAGCTTGGGATGAAGACTGATCCCCTTGGGCCATAGCTGTAAGTGTTCTCTATATACCATAGGGCTGATTATCCAAAATTGCTTTTCTAGGCAGGTGTTTTGGAGCCCATTCTGTGCCATTACCAGTTCAGGCTCTCTCCTTTCAAATATATTTGTGTGTTAATCATGAGTTTGAGCCATGAATTAGTGTAGTTTTACTCTCACAATACCTTTCTTGGTTTTCCAGTACTGGATGTGAGTTTTATCTTAAAGTGCTAATGTCTCTTTAGCAATTACAGATATGTTTTTTAGCATTCATCTTGGCTACAACTTTAAACTTTCCCATGCTGTTTTTCCTCACCAAACTGCACATTTTATATTTTCATTTGTAATTTGTTGCTCTTTTCCCACTATAGATCTGGATAAGAATGGTGTGCAGTAACTGTTCTACAGGCTGAATGTCACGATGCCTTAAAATTTCCTCCACCAAACAAATTAGCCCATACCTTTTTACTTCACTTACTTTTAAAGACATGAGCAAAATGGAGCCAGATTATTTCACAGACAATAACATTAACAGCTTCTACCCCCAACTCCACCTAGAGTCCTTGTTTCCCTCTGAAGCTCAATGAACTGATCCTTCCCCAAACATTTCCTTCAACATCCTGGTTTTCCAAAAGCCCACTAGAATAACTCTGCTTCCAACACTGTAGTAATTTTCTAGCCAAAGATCCAAAGTCTTCCACATTCTTCCTAGAAAACAGTTCGAAAGAACAATGAACCACTTGATTTAGCCCAACAACAGCCCCCGATTCTCCATACCACTTTTCTAAATAATTTATTTTTCTCTTTGCTATGACAAAATATCTTACAGAAACAATTTAAGGGAGGACTTCTTCTATGGTATAGCCCATTATTGGAAGTAAGTTGTAACAGAAATATTTTGAGACTGCTGGTCCCATTATGTCCACAGTTAGGAAGCTGAACGACGTACACTCAGCTAGCTTTCTTCTTCTTATTAAGTCTGGGACCCCAGGCCTTGGAATGGTGGTGTCCAAATTTTGAGTGGGTCATTTCTAGTCCCTGAAACATTTCTTGAATTGCCCTAATAGATACACCCAAAGGAATTTTCTCTTGTTTGTTCTAAACCCTTTCAAGTTCACAATTAAAATAGACCATCACAGGCTGACAAATATTTTCTCTCGTTTTGTGAGCTATTCTTTATTCTGCTAACAGCTTCCTTTACAGTGAAACATTTTTTTAGTATCATGCACTTCCATTTGTGAATTTTTTATATTATTCTCTTACTATTTGAAGTCCTTTTCAGAAATGTGTTGCCTGTCTGCCTATAGCAGTTTCAATGTTTCAAGACTTAGGTCTTTCATCATTTTGAATAAATTTTTGTGCTGGATCTACTTTGATTTTTCAAATGCAGATGTCATATTTTCCAAGCCCAAGTTTCTGAAAAGACTTTTATCCAATGTATATTTTTCACAGCTTTGTCAAAAATTAGGTGGCTATGGCTGTGCAGATTTATCTTTGGGTTCTTTATTCAATTCCATTTGTCTAAGTTTCTGATTATGTACCAGTGCCATGCTGTCTTTGTCACTATGGCCCTGTAGTATAATTTGAGGTGAGTTATTCTGGTATCACAAACAACATTGTTCTCTCTGATTAAGATTGCTTGGGCTTTTGGTGTTTTTTTTGTGTGTATGTGTTTCTATATGATTTTTATAATTTTTATTGAGTCTATGGAAAATATAATTGGAATTTTGATAGAGGTAATACTGACAGCTTTCAGTATCAGGCCTTTACAAAGTGTTAATTGTGCCACCACATCAGTGTGGAAGAACCTTCCATTTTTCAGTCTTCAATTTATTGGAGTTTTAATTGTAGAAGTCTTTATCCTCCTGGTTTACATTTACCCTAGATAAATTTTTTCTATAACTATTTATCTTGTGGGAATAGAATCTGTCATTTTTAAATTCTGAATCTCATCTTTCATAATGCTGGAATAATTTGGGGTTTATCTTGATATTCCCAGCTTGGTACCAGTCAGTTAACATGGTAGTTTTTATCATTAATGCAGACAAGTTTCCAATAAAAGTACAAAATTCAATTTAGAATTATTGGTCTCTGCTAGTCTACATGTTAAAATCATTATTTACAATGTAATCTTTCAGAAAAGTTGAAAATACTTGAGATAAGAAATAAAAAATACATACACCAGTAATAGAATATAAAGATGAATGGCAATTGTGTTCCTTCTGTGTAGAAAGCCATTTAGAAATGTCTAATTTAACCCAGATAATTTGAACCATTAATGTTAAAATTAAAACATCAGTATTGTAATATTAATGTTTCATTATTCATAATTCATTAGAATGATTATTCTAAAACTACATATTACCTAAGAATAATTTAGAATATTGATTTAACTACTTAAAATCTGTTTAGAAAATCTTTAGGTTGGAATCAATTGCTACTATATTAGTTTATTTAGCACAATTAAGAGAC